TGTTTTCAAGGCTCACCTATGTTATATAACGTGCCAATATTTTGCTTTTTAAGTTGCATTTTACTTTTCCATTCATCATTTGATGGACCTTTGAGCTGATTCCACGCATTTGGCTATTTGCACAGTGCTGCTGGCACCTGGCACCCCAAGGCACCTGGAGAATGGGCGCCACTTGACCACACAGCTGCCCCGTTGACTTTGATGGAGAATCCGCTCCTTGCAGCCTCCTTTCTGTCACTTTCCTCACAGGGCATCTCGAAAGAGTGTGAAGGAGAAGAGATTTCCCTCGGTCGGTTTGTGTATAACAAAACAGGAACCACCGTGCAAACATTTGAGCTGCAGGTAACGAGCGCCCGGATTAGGTTGCTCGTGGCTCTGTCCCTGGGAGGAGTGTGGGGGTGTGCATTTAGGGTTTCATTCATAGATAGATAGATAGATAGATAGATATAGATGTATATTCACCTGCTCAGCCCTTCCCTTCCCTGTTTGGTTCCCTTGAAGCTATTAGGTTAGTTAGTCACTGTCTCACCTTCTGTGTGATGTGTTGGAGGCAAAAAGGAAGTCAGAGGGAGAGAGAATAAATACTTGATACCAGATAAGGCAGGTAAACTTCCTCACTCAATGGGAAAAAACACCAGCTGTTGTGCTGGCCGGCAAGGCTCAGTGGTTGAGCGATGACCTCTGGACCAGGAGGTCATGGTCTGATTCCTGGCCAAGACACATGCCCGAGTTGTGGGCTAGATCCCTAGTGCGAGGCATTCAGGAGGCAGCCAATCCAAGATTCTCTCTCATCATGGATGCGTCTATCTCTCTCTTTTCTTCTCCCTTCCTCTCTGATTTCAATAAAATATATTTTATTTTATTTTTATTTTTTAAATATATTTTATTGATTTTTTACAGAGAGGAAGGGAGAGAGATAGAGAGTTAGAAACATCGATGAGAGAGAAACATCGATCAGCTGCCTCCTGCACATCTCCTACTGGGGATATGCCTGCAACCCAGGTACATGCCCTTGACCGGAATCGAACCTGGGACCTTTCAGTCCGCAGGCCGACGCTCTATCCACTGAGCCAAACCGGTTTCGGCAATAAAATATATTTTAAAAAAGAAAGAAAAACAGCAGCTGTTAACATGTAACCCCTCCTGAAGTCGTTAAGGCATCCTCCTATATAATAAAACCCTAGTATGCAAATTGACCAAACAGTGGAACAATGGTCGCTATGATGTGCACTGGCCACCAGGGGCAGATGCTCAATGCGGGAGCTTCCCCCTGGTGGTCAGTGTGCTCCCACTGGGAGAACACTGCTCAGCCAGAAGCCAGGCTCACAGCTGGCGAGTGCAGCGGTGGTGGTGGTGGGAGCCCCTCCCACCTCCGCTGCAGGCGGGCAGTAAGGAGGGAGGGGTTCCAGACTGCAAGATCCCTAGACTGCGAGAGAGATGTCTAACTGCTGGGGATCGGGCCTAAGCTGGCAGGTGGACATCCCCCAAGGGGTCCCAGACTGAGAGAGGGCACAGGCCGGGCTGAGGGAACCCCCGCCCCTGGTGCATGAATTCTGTGCACCAGGCCTCTAGTGTGAAATAAAATCTCATTGCTTCTCATCACCCCCAGGGAGTAGTGAGATGGAGAGGGCACCTCCATCATTAAAATAAGGGTTTTAGGACACTGCTCAGCCAATGGGGAAGAAGCAATGTTAGAAATGAATGTACCTGTGGAGTTTCATATTTGATTGAGTGTCTGTGTGTCTCCCTCCCACCGTGGGGTGGCCAGCAGGCAGCTCTGTGGGGTGTGGCAGTGGCAGTGTCCATGGCAGTGGGAGCCCGTGGCTGTCCAGGCCACCTTGTCTTCTCCTCGCCCTGCGTTTGTCCTCTTAGGAGCTCTTTATTCATAGTGGCTCACTTCTCATCCATTAGAGCAGTGGTTCTCAACCTGTGGGCCGAACGACCCTTTCACAGGGGTCGCCTAAGACCATCGGAAAACACAGATATAATTACATATTGTTTTTGTGATTAATCACTATGCTTTAATTATGTTCAATTTGTAACAATGAAATTGGGGGTCACCACAGCATGAGGAACTGTATTAAAGGGTCGCGGCATTAGGAAGGTTGAGAACCACTGCGTTAGAGCTTGTGTGATTGCACTTAAGGCAGGAAAGAGTTCCTTGCCCATTACAACCGAATTCCTTAGGACCCTTTGAGATGGGTTTCTTGATAAGCCATTAATTTTCTCTCTTCTTTTTTTCCAGCATGAAGTGTCTGAGCCCTTATTGTGTGTGAAACTTAGAATCCTCAGCAACTGGGGACATCCGAAGTACACGTGTTTGTACAGATTCCGGGTCCACGGCCGCCCCGGGGGCCATGGGTAGAGGGTCTGGTGCCCATGGCCACGACCATGGGTCCGGAATACTCGTGTTCTTCTTTCTTAGACTTACTGCACGTGTAGAAATCAAATAGAGGGTTCACACTTGCCCGTAAAAAGTGAATGAATTTTACTAATAAAAACTGTGAAAGTGGTTTCAATCTCCTGGTGATGGTTTCGCTTTTGAGGATGAATCATGTTGTTGGAACATTAACAAATGAATTTTTCTAGAAAAAGATGTATTATTTCACGGTCTTTCTTTTTTTGTTTGTTTGTTAATCCTCAACCGAGGATACTTTTTCATTGAATTTTATTTTGATTTTTTTCCATAGAATTTTAGAGAGTGGAATGAAGGGGGAGAGACAGAGAGAAACATTGCAATGTGAGAGAGACACATCGATTGGTTGCCTCTCACATGCGCCCCAACCAGGGCTGGGGATGAGCCTGCAACTAAGGTTCGTGCCCTTGACCGGAATCGAACCCTTCAGTCCACAGACCAATGTTCCATCCTCTAAGCCAGTGGTTCTCAACCTTCCTAATGCCACGACCCTTTAATACAGTTCCTCATGCTGTGGTGACCCCCAATTTCATTGTTACAAATTGAACATAATTAAAGCATAGTGATTGATCACAAAAACAATATGTAATTATATCTGTGTTTCCCGATGGTCTTAGGCGACCCCTGTGAGAGGGTGGCGACCCACAGGTTGAGAACCACTGCGAGTAAGCCAACCAGCTGGGGCTTGTTTTACTTTTTAAAGTCTACATCGTTTCTGTTACTTATGCTGTAAGAACTTTAACAGGACCCAGTGAAATTCATCAGGAGACAAATTGCAGAATCATCACTTAATGTCACTGTTCTTTAAAATCCAATTTTAAATTTTAAACCATAATCCAGGGTGGCTGAGTGGGATCTAAAGTTGCCTGCTCTGCAGCAGATGCATGCATCCGAGCATTTTATTTAACCCTTTACAAATGAACCATTGTTTTTTTGATATTTTAATAAAAGTGGCAATAGGCCCGGCTGGTGTGGCTCAGTGGTTGAGCGTCGGCCTAGGAACCAGAAGGTCAGGGTTGGATTCCGGCTCAGGGCACAGGTACAGGTTGCGGGCTCCATCCCTTGTCGGGGGCTGCAGGAGGCGGCCGATCCATGATTCTAATCATTGATGTTTCTCTGTCCGCCTCCCTTCTCTCTGAAATCAGTAAAAATATAGTTAAAAAAACAAGTGGCCGTCGGTGTCAACGTTCTTTTTTTAAAAATATATATTTTATTGATTTTTCACAGAGAGGAAGGGAGAGGGATAGAAAGCCAGAAACATGGATGAGAGAGAAACATCCATCAGCTGCCTCCTGCACACCTCCTACTAGGGATGTGCCTGCAACCAAGGCACATGCCCTTGACCGGAACCGAACCTGGGACCTTGCAGTCCGCAGGCTGACGCTCTATCCACTGAGCCAAACCAGCCAGGGCGGTGTCAACGTTCTTTACCCCTAGAACCCCTTCTCACACCTGGGGCTGAGGATGCTGCATTCTAAAGCAGAGCCACCGCCTCCCCACCAAGGGCGGAACCAAGGGGCGCGGGCCGGCGTTTCCAGCCGGATGCCGAGGGCGGGACGCTGAGGAAGGGACACTGAGGGCCGGAAACTGAGAGCGGGACTCTGAGGGCGGGACGCTGAGGGCCGGAAGCTGAGGGCGGGACTCTGAGGGCGTGACGCTGAGGGCGGGACTCCAGTCCGCCGCCACAGGTCTCCCTGGCGGGTCCTGTCCCGCCATGAAGTTTCGCGCCAAGATTGCGGACGCAGCCTGTCTCAACCACTTCACGCGTGAGCGGGTCGCGGCCGCCCGGGGGTGTGGAGGGAGCGAGGGGAGGGCGGGCCGACGGCGGAGGGGCGCGCGGAGGGCTTCCCTGGAGCTGAGAGGCGCGGGGCTGAGGGGCTGGGGGCGCGGAGCTGAGGGGCTGGGGCTGGGGGCGCGGAGCTGAGGGGCTGGGGCTGAGGGGCTGGTGGCTGAGGAATTGGGGCGCTGAGCTGAGGGGCTACGGCTGAGGGGCTGGGGGCGCGGAGCTGAGGGGCTGGGGCTGAGGGGCTGGTGGCTGAGGAATTGGGGCGCTGAGCTGAGGGGCTACGGCTGAGGGGCTGGGGGCGCGGAGCTGAGGGGCTGGGGGCGCGGAGCTGAGGGGCTACGGCTGAGGGGCTGGGGGCGCGGAGCTGAGGGGCTACGGCTGAGGGGCTGGGGGCGCGGAGCTGAGGGGCTACGGCTGAGGGGCTGGGGGCGCGGAGCTGAGGGGCTGGGGGCGCGGAACTGAGGGGCTGAGGGGGGCGGGGCTAGGGCTGAGGGGCTGAGGGGGCGGGGCTGGGGGCGGCCGTGGGCGGCCGTGGGCAGTGGGGCCCCAGCTGGTTTGGGGCCGGACTGGTCCCGGGGCGGCCCTAACCTGGCACAGGCGGTTCTTGGGGGCCGAGCTGCTGCCCTGGGAGCCTCGGTGTCCTCACCCCACCCACGTGCGCCTGGGCCGCGCCGGCCTCCAGGCCCCGCACGTGACCCGCGCCCCCCGCAGGCGTCAGCTGCATGGTGGCCAAGCTCGCCCGCACCTGCACCCTGCGCATCCGCCCGCACGCGCTCAACTTCATCCTGGCCGACCCAGCGGGCGGCGGCGTCAGCATGTGGTGCGAGCTGCCCCAGGTGAGCCGCCCCTCCCGCCTCCGCCTCCGCCTCCCTCCCCGGCCGGGCCCCTGACCCCGCGCCGCCCCCAGGAGAACTTCTTCAGCGAGTTCCAGATGGAAGGCGTCTCCGAGGACAACAATGCCATCTACGTGGAGCTCGCGGCCGAGAACCTCTCCCGCGCCCTGAAAACCGCGCAGAACGCCCGGGCCTTGAAGGTCAAGCTGACCAACAAGCACTTCCCCTGCCTGACGGTGTCCATAGAGCTGGTGAGGAGGGGCCCCGCTGGGCAGTGGCCGCAGCAGGGGTGGGGGGTCATGGCAGCGGGGCCGCAGGGCAGGTGCCCCCGTGACCTGCACACCGTGCGTGCGGTGGCGATGGCTCCGTGGGAACGGAGAGCACCCACCTGCGTGGCCGGCAGGCTTCCTCCGCCCCTCAGGCCCGCTGGTTCCTCGCAGGTGTCTGTGTCGAGCAGCAGCCGCATGGTGACCCACGACATCCCCGTGAAGGTCATTCCCAGGAAGCTGTGGAGGAACCTGCAGGAGCCCACAGTCCCAGACGCTGATGTGAGTGATGGCAGCCCCGTGGCTCCCCGGTGTCCAGCGGCGTCATTAGTTCCCCGCTGTCAGCACGGGCTTTGCCGTCTGGTCTGCTGGTTGGAAAGGATGCTCCTTTCTGAAGGCTGCTCCAGGAGGAAGGGGGCCTGTGCCTGGGGTTGTTCCCGTAAGACCCTCAGTCAGCCCGGCGTGGCAGGAATGCCGGTGGAGAGGGAATGTCCACCCAGGGACGGCCGTGCAACTAGCCTGCCCTGGAAGCCCTTGGCGTTCCTGCCGGGTGGTGGCCGCGGGCACCGGTGTGGGTCCCAGAGGGACGCTGCCATGTCGGTGAGGAGCGATGTCCGGCCGGTGACAGCCAGCAGGGAGGCCCTTCCGCTCCGCAGACTGGTCCCGGGGCAGGGACTATGGTGATGCCCGGGCTCCTTTGCCTCCCGCTCACACTGACGGAAGGAGGGGGATGGAGAGGGAATTCTAGAGGCCCCTCCTGGGAAGCAGCAGGGCACCAGGCACAGTGGGAACCCTCTGACGCTGGTGCAGGCACTTCCCCCTCGCGTTTTTGGGTGGAAAGGCCTGAGTCTAGGGCATCCCTCAGAGGACCACCGTGTCCCGGGTGCATGAAGGCCTCTAGCTGAAGGCGGGTCCTGGGACCAGAAGTGCCACGGGGACCGGTCGCCGAGGTAACCAGAGGCAGGAGTGAGCTAGTGAAACTCTGATAGTTTTTATTTTCATATTTTAAAAAGAACTTTATTCAGACAGGTTAAAAACCCAGGATTCTGGAGCTTTTAAGCTTCCACGCATTCCAAACCCAGGTAGTGAGCGGGCACCTGCCAGCACTTGCTGTACGGACATTCTCATGCTCTGGTTTTCTCATTGGGCCTGTAGGTGAGCATTTATCTGCCGGTCTTGAAGACGATGAAGAGCGTTGTGGAAAAAATGAAAAATATCAGCAATCAGCTTGTAAGTCACAACTTCTTTAGCAAAGAGCTCTGAAGTGTTTGCTGTGGGCTGCACGCCTGCCCGAGGTGTGGGTGCCCTGGCACTCAGCATGCGGGGTCCCCTCATTGCGGTGGTTGAGAGCTACAGCTTCCCAGGTGCCCTGAGGAACCTGCCCGAGTGTCTCCAGGGGCTCCCTGGGGAGAGTGTCCACATCGGCCTCCTGCCTGTGTTTATACTCACAGTAGTTCCGGGAGCCGGTCCATCCTTTCTGTTTCAAGGGACCTGGCATATATGGCATACTGTTCTTAATATGTTTGCTCACCTTCTTGGCACCATGTTTTAACCAAGGTCACCTCTCTGAGAAAGGTTGTTTCCCCAGGTAGGGATTTTCCCCTGAAGTTAGGGAGGGAATAAAACCCCTTAACTAAGTGCCAGGCGGGTAATTAATCACTTTAACTACGAACAATCAGGCTTAGGCTACATAATCTTTACTCCCTGGAATGGAGATTAGAAATGCCCTAACCTTTGGAATAGAGATTGATAGGATTGGAATCAACTGGTATAAATACAGATGTAACAAGACAACAGGACACAGAACCTACACAGAACCTAGACACAGAACCTAGAGACAGAACATGGCAAAAGACCCTGGACAGAAACTGGCCACCGAACCTAGAGACAGAACCTAGCGAGAGAACCTGGCTGAAGAACCTAGAGACAGAACCTGGCTACGGAACCTGGATAGAACATGGCAAGAGAACCTGACTAGAACCTGGTGACTGAACCTGGCTGGAGAACCTGGACAGAACCTGGCTGGAGAACCTAGCGAGGGAACATGGCTACAGAACCTGGCTGGAGAACCTGGAGAACCCGGCTACAGAACCTGGCTGGAGAACCTAGTGAGAGAACCGAACCAGAACTTCGCTGGAGATCCTGACCAGAACTTGGCTAGAGATACTGGCTAGGCTGCTGATCAACTGAACGCTGTCT